TGATGTCAAAGCATAAGTACAGTACAGTACATTACAGTAAGATAGGGTGAGAATTATACCATCGAAGGTAATCGTCTACACCAAAATTTGCTAAGAATCCTCGTTGATAAGAAGCCCAACTACTAAAACCTGGAAGGGCGAAAAACAAGGATGAGTGGGCCAAAAAATAAAGTTTTATAAAAACCTTTCTGAAAACATCGTAAATCCTAGCCATAAAACAAGTATAGTTTCCTAAATATAATTACTACGTATAGTATAAAAATACTAATCGTAGCTTGCAAAATCTCAAGAATTCATTACGGCACAATATCTCATAAATAAAAGCATGGCATCCATAATCACAAAATCTCAACAGTAATATAAGTAAAATCAGGTGCTCAATCAATTTATGCTAGCACACAAATTGGGGTCGCCTAATGTGACATGTACGACTGAACTGATGCTTATCAATCTATGGTAACACACGAGTTGGAGTTGCCTAATGCAACTTGTACGACAGGACTGGCACCTACTTGGATTCAAATCGAGTGTGCGGTGCGAAGGTGAACATACAACTGAAAGACTCGCCCTGGCCCTGGGTGAACACTAACACCGAGGTGCAGCAATGATGAGCATACTACATAAATATAAGCATGCCATAGTGATTTGATAGTTCTAATCAACATACTAACATTCATAGCCGTAGATATAATTATGGAATCAAAGATTATAAGCATACTTGTGTATCTTGTAGGATGTAGCAAATTTCATAATTTCTAGTCAATATAACATTCATCAAAGCCGTAAATTGGGTTGAGGCATCCCCTAAGATCTGGAATAATTTCATAAATTCCGTGATTTCGCTAATGCTTATAAATTTTAGTCTAATCCAGGCGTACGTGAGAAATTCTTTTTCAAATGAATAAATGGAAACTATCAATCATATATATAAATACATACACTATAAAAAGGAAAAGACCCACTCACTTGAAGTCCGCGCTACAACTCCCTAACACGAATATCGAGGCGTCACGAACGATCGTTGCCTAAAACAAATATCAAATCACGTCTCAGAATTCTTATCTATAGAACACGTAACTTACATAAAACACATTCCCAAGGATGTTCTAGAATGATTTGTAACCCATTGCCCAAAAGTCAACCGTCAGTCAAAGGTCGACGGTAGGGTCCACAACTCTACGTAATTCGATCCGGAAGATCCACACCTCAGCTTTCTGATTTGTAACTTTCCAATAGTTTTCATAAGCTTCTAGAACAACATTCTAAAGTTTCAGAACGATTCAATGATCGAATCTCCGCTAATCGCTAAAATTAAGTGGCGGTCGATGTTTAGATTTACAAACTCAGAAAACCCATCCGAGAGGATCCGTACATCAGATTCCCGATCTGTCAGTTTCTAATTTTCTTAAATATTATGTACTACTACATATTAAAGTTTGGTGATGATCCGATGGTCGGATCGTCGAATCATATAATAACCAAGTGGCGGCCTTTAACAAAATTATAACCAAACAAAGGAATTTCGTCAATCAGATGCCTAATATGGAATTAGGGCATCCAAATTAGCCTAGGAAGATCAGGTAGGGTCTTGGCCCACACGGCGGCCGACCGCCTGGCTCACCGGAAAATTCAACTATTTCCAAAAATTACCAAATTTCACATAAATAAAGATCTCAATGAGTAAAGCAAGTTTTATACCTGTGGCCAAGTCCACTTTGGCCGGGCAAGGCTCTAATTCGTCTCGAACCCGTCGAAAACCCTAAGTTGGGTAGCCTTCGATTCGACTTTTCCGTTGCTCCGCCGCTCCAACCAAGGCTTGGGACTTATTCCTGGGTTCAAGAAGAGTTGACCCATAGTGCTGGTCAACGGAGTTTGCTTCAAGAATGGCGGATCGCCGCCTTGAGACCTTCAGCGCCACTGTGCATGTTTTTCCCAATTTCCTGGCCAAATTAACTCAGGTTTGGTGTTCTAATCAACATACAAACATTCATAGCCGTATATATAATTATGGCATCAAAGATTATAAGCATACCTATGCATCCTGTAGGATGTCATATATTCCATAATTTCTAGTCAATATAACATTCATCAAAGCTATAACTTGGGTTAAGGCATCCCACAGGATCCGGAATAATTTCATAAATTCTGTCATTTTGCTAATGCTTAAAATTTTTAGTCTAATATAGGCGTACGTAAGAAATTCTTTTTCAAATGCATAAATGGAAACTATTAATCATATATATATATATATATATATATATATATATATATATATATATATAGACACACACACACTATAAAAAGGAAAAGACCCACTCACTTGAAGTCTGCGCTACAACTCCCTAGCACGAATATCGAGGCGTCACGAACGATCGTTGCCTAGAACAAATATCAAATTATGTCTCAGAATTCTTATCGATAGAATACATAACTTACATAAAACATATCCCCAAGGACGTTCTAGAATGATTTGTAACACATTGACAAGAAGTCAACCATTAGTCAATGGTCGATGGTAGAGTCCACAACCCTACGTAATTCAATCCGAAAGATCCACACCTCGGATTTTCGATTTGTAACTTCCCAAGAGTTTCAATAAGCTTCTAGAACAACATCCTAAAGTTTTGGTCTGGGAAGATCCGTATGTCAGATTCTAGATCCGTTAGTTCCTAATATCCTTAAATATTATGTACTACTACATATTAAAGTTTGGGGACAATCCAATGGTCGGATCGTCGAATCATATAATAGCCAAGTGGCGGCGCTTAACGGAATTATAACCAAACAATGGAATTTCATCAATCGAATGTCTAATATGGAATTGGGGCATCCAAATTAGCCTAGGAAGGTAAAGTGGGGTCTTGGCCCACACGTCGCCGTACACGACTGCCTGCCACCTCAACACACTGGAAAATTCAAACCAAAAATTACCAAATTTCACAAAAATGAAGATCTCAATAAGTAGAGCAAGTTTTATACATGTGGCCAAATCTAATTTATCCGAGAAAGGCTCCAATTCGTCTCAAACTCGTCGGAAACGTAAGTTAGGTTGCCTTCGATTCGACTTCTCCACTGCTCCGCTGCTCCAACCAAGGCTTGGGACTTGTTCCTAGGTGCAAGAGGAGTCGACCCATGGTGGTGGTCGACGGAGTTTGCTTAAGGAATGGCGGATCGGCGCCATGAGACCCTCGCTGCCACCATGCTTGTTCTTCCCAATTTCTTAGCCAAATTAACTTGGGTTTGGTGGAGAAATGAAGATGGAAGGTCTCTGAGTTGATTCATGGTGGTGGATGGCTGCAATTCGTTGGAAAAACTGACAAAAATCGCCAAAGAAGAAAGCGGAACCGGGTTGGGAAAAAAGAAACAGGCTGGTGGTCTCGTGCCTCACCTCTCCCTCATTTCCCCTCCTTTCCTGCTCTCCCTATGGGTCAGTTTCTCCTCTCCTCCTTCCCGATTGGTCTATCCTCCTTCTCCTTCTCCTTTCCTTTCCGTCTGTCCCTTTTCCTGATTGGGCAATCCCTTCCCCCCATCTCTCTGTTCTTCATTTCTCTCTGCTAATATTAAAAAATAATATAATAACTATGATAGATATACACACACACACACACACACACACATATATATAAACTAATAAATAGTAATCTTTACAAAAGTACTTTTCGAATTTGTAGTTCTATAAAACCCCTATCGTGAGTTCGATTTCAATTCAGATTACGCCTACGTGATCGTCCCGTCGAGAACTTCGAGAGTATGATAAAATAGTAACTTGCACGCGTCACTAAATAACGATCAACGAAAGTCAACAATCTCGCCAATAGAGGCAGTTTTGTCAATTTACGCTTTTAAAAATTAATAAAACCGTAAAAGTAGGGACGGTTGTCATTGGAATTATAGTAGTACCATATGGTTTTAATAGCATTTTCAATGAAAATATGTAAATTTGAGATGTCAAAGCTACACTTGTGTCCTATTTTCATTTTGGTGAGATGTAAACGTGTGTTCAACTATGATAGGATAAAATGTGAATTTACATTTTCCAGCCAAGATAATATTCATATCCCGTTCACTAGAGATTTTCGGCTACTACAAAATGAAATGCCAATTCCATGGCATTTTGCATCTCCTATTGATTATTTGTGCGACATCTTTGCATTAATTTTAACATCCGAACAATCTATCTTTCAAGTCTACATTCATAGAAGAATTTAAAAGTATTAACGAACTTAATTGTGGTGAGGAAAATTGATAAACACATTGCTTCTTGAAAACACTAATGAAGGGAATATGTTTGATCATTTCATAAGTAATTGTTATTCACCTGGCTTAGCTCGGCTTGATGCGACTCTAGTTTATGTTGATTAGACTATGACCATTGTTAAATAGTCCTATGGTTTTTTATTTGGGCCGTTTTTTTTTTTCCAGAAACGAGTTATGATAAGACACCTATAATATTAGACAGTTTGGATCATTAACTTGAGGTAGAGTTGGAATCAAACTGATTTCTACATAATTCTAACCCGACTAGTTAAAATAATAAAAGTTGGATTTGGATTAAGGCCTCGCTTAGTATTGCATTTTTTTTTTTACCTATAATTGCTTCACTTTAAAATTAAGTAATAAACAAAATGTTTGTTAAAAATAAAATATTATGCTTATTTTTAAATCAATGTCCTTCAAACAATAGCTTTTAAAATCAACATGTATGTTGCTTTTAAAAGTCTTAAAAGCCGAATTGGGCCTTTAATGGATAATTTTAATTTCTGTAATATTCTTGTTAATTTTTAAAAAGAAAATTATTTATTCATCTGCATACATTTTCTCTTTTGAAGAACAATGCGACTTGCCGTCATTTACTACTATAACCACTAACCTTACATCAACAATGCAGTTGCCATTACCATCACTATCGTTGTCGTCACTATCGCCAACCACCACCATCACAAGGCCATAACTACAACCACAACCAGAACCATAATCACCACCACTACAACCACAATCACCATTGTCATTGCTAGAAGATTGTAACATCTCCACCCCAACCACCACACGTCACTATTTGCACGACTACCATACCCTTACCATCCCCTACCGCCACCGCCATCACCATCGCCATCACCATGATTGTCGCCGCCACCACTTACAATTGTAACCATCATTCTTACACCATTGCCGCCATCACCACCATTATTGTTTCCACCGTGACTGCCAATAAAGCTGCAATCGCCACTACTGCAGCTGCCAGTGCTACCATAGGCAATCCAACGTCCTACAAAAACCCTCATGATTCATGCAGAGCGTCACCTGGTTTTTTTTTTTTTTTTTTTTTTAAACCTACTTTTAGATTCCGTCCTTTTTAAACGTTGCGCGGATTTATTTTGAATTTTAGTGATATTTAAGAATTTAATTTGAAACTTTAAAAGTAAGTTAGTAAAATTGGAATTATCTGTCGAAATAATAATATAATACATAGTTTCTCCTTCCTCAAAATCAACCCTTTCAATCATTCCAAGGACAAATCGCTCTCTCTTTAAGTCTCATCTGGGTCGGGTAAATTTCTTTCTTTGGTTTCGGTTTTTCTTCAATCTGTCTTTCTGGACGGCCATTTTGGTCAATTTGATGCTTCTTGGCTGGCTGGTGTTCTTTTTCTGAGTTCGATTATCGACTTGTGTGGTTCTGATTTTGTTTCTTGAGTAAATACTTACCGATCTGTAATTTGTATTCTGCCAAATGGGGAAAAATGGTAACTTTGGGCATCAGGGTTTTGGTACTTGACCTTTCTTGTTTGATCTGATTTGGGTTTTCTCGTTTGAGGTGCTTATGTTGCTTTCTGGGCAACTGGGTTGTTGTTTGTATGGATGTTTGCTTGAAAGCTAAAGCTCCCTCTCTCTCTCTCCCACTCCTTATACGAAAGATAAGCCATTTGGGTTTTTGTTGACTTTATCATATTTGTATGGATATTGATTTGAAGTTAGTGTGAGCTGGTTTTGGTAATGCCTTTAGGTGTTAGTGGATTCAGGATGTAGTTGTTCGTCGCTTGTCTTTTAAAGGTTTCAAAATTGGAATATGCTGGCTTTTGCACTTCTCTTTACTTTTTATATTCTTCCTTCGTTGAAAGCGCATTGTGTTTGTCTTAAGTTTTAGCTTAAGGTAATTATGCGTGTAATTGGAATTTGGATTATATTGACTCTAATGATCTTTGTTTTTGTGAGGATCATTTCTTTCAAACATATCTTGTATTCAGAACTTTATTGATTTATATTTTTGTAAATATAGCAATTGGAGAAAAACAGGCCGAATCTCTTTTGCAGCTTTCCAAATCATTGATCCCCTATCTCACGCTCAAACAAACCTTTTAGAGAGCCAAACTGTAGGAGAAACCTGTGTTTTTGATGCTCAAATCAACTCAACTAAGCCTTTATCTGGAAACTAAGCAATCTCCGCTAGTCTCGCAAAAGAAAGTGAGAAAATGAGAATGTGAAAAATGTAGGTTACAAGATGAAAGGATGAGAGGAGAGATTTAATTGTTGCATGTCTTAATTGAAGTCAAACTTGATTGAATTTCAGTGATGTGTGATAACTGTTTAGGTAGTATCAGTGGTAATTCTAAGGGGACAGATACAAGATTGGATTGATAGTCATGAGGATTTGGGAATGTATGTTTCACAATGGTTCTGGGAGGTAATGTTTAGTTCAGTATAATCATATTACTTTGTACCTTTCTATTTTCTGTTTCAAATATCTCTATCAGGGAATCAGAGAAATTCTAATAATACTTTGTACCTTTCTTTTTTCTGTCTGCATTACAGTTTTTATGTTATTGTTGGCAATCAAATACTAATAATACTCTGTTTAATGTTTGAGCAGCAAGGGTTTGTGTCTCATGCTTGTTCATTCTGTCTTTTATTTGTCATTATGAGACATCACTGATCTTACTTCTTCTGTCCTAATTTTTCATTTAAATGTTAATTTGTTATTGCAGGCATATCGGCTTACGGCTTTCCTTATTCTAGCACTCTAATCAGTGCAGTTGGGAATTTTGTGGCGCATAAAAAAGCTGAATTGCTGATTCTCTTCTTGGTAGCCAAAGTTTTCTTGAGGACTTCATTCCTTTTTTTTTCTTATGGTAATGTTGTGTCTCTGTACATAAAAATTAGTTCTTTTGCTTTTCACCATTGCCAAACTATAATAAAATAGAACATGATAGTTATATGGACTAGTACGTCTCCATACACTGGCGCTGGACTAAATCAAAGGCAGATAGATGTTTAATTGCATGCTTATTCATCCAAAACTAATTTGAGATTTTTTTCGTTCTACTTTGAGACTACATGGTGGTTTAACAATTTACAGCAATATGTATGTGCATGAAACTCCATTCCTGGTGTAAATAATTAATCCTTGTTATATTGAAACATCAACATGGGAATATAGTGGTTCAGAGTTTATATGCACACATTCATTGTTTGGTTTATTTGGAGTCTATCTTTCTTCTTTGCAACAAATGGATTGTCATGCTTCTTCTTATTTGCAGTTTGCAACTGATGATTTCTTCGTCCTTTTCCTTTCAAACTCTTCTTACAATTCTTTTGGTCATGTAACATTTCAGGCTACAAATGAAAATCTCCCACCAAATGTAATTAAGCAACTTGCGAAGGAATTGAAGAGTCTTGATGAATCCCCTCCTGAAGGCATTCAAGTTGGGCTTAACGATGATGATTTTTCAATCATATATGCTGATATTGAAGGGCCAGGCACGTTTATTTTTTGGCATAACTGTAATTTAGTCTTTCGCTCCTGCATCGTTTGAATAATTTTGAGATATTTACTGAGCTACGATCTTGGCCTTGCAGCTGGCACTCCTTATGAGAATGGTGTTTTCCGCATGAAGTTGTTATTGTCCAGGGACTTTCCGCACTCTCCTCCTAAAGGTTTGTTTGTTATGATCATAAATGACGTAATTGATAACACTATCATTTAAGTGTACATGTCATATTTCTGTTCTCTCGTTCTGTTTGGAATGCGTGACCATACACAACTGAAGATGTTTTTTTATGATGAAAGGCCTATATATGGTAGAACTCTTTTAGTCCCTATTTGGATTATAATTTCTGGAAAATAATTGTTGTAGGCTACTTCCTGACGAAGATTTTCCATCCAAACATTGCGACTAACGGTGAGATTTGTGTCAACACCTTGAAAAAGGATTGGAATCCAAGTCTAGGATTACGACATGTTCTGATTGTAAGTTCCCTTGATGGTTCAGTTATATTCTTTCATTTCTGCTTATTCATCTGAGAACTTTGTGTTCTCTTACAAACTCAAGGTGTCTTGGCTCCGTGCTTTGCGATAACAGGTAGTTAGATGTCTATTGATTGAACCATTTCCAGAATCAGCGTTGAATGAACAGGCAGGCAAGATGCTCCTTGAAAATTATGAGGAGTATGCAAGACATGCAAGGTGAGCTATAGTAATAATGTCATCTGCTTCGGGTTCAGATAAATGGAGCAGGGGAAGGAACTTATTCACGCCGGCTTTTATCTCAATTGTTATAGAAACCAAAAGATGCATATGCCAACTATAGATAATATTATTACACATGACTATGCAACTTAAGTAGACTTCATTTCTTGCATGTAGGCTTTATACTGGAATCCATGCTAAGCCAAAACACAAGTTTAAAACAGGAGCTATTTCAGAGTCGACAACTGCACTGAACGTTGATCAAACTAACACTTTGACGCTTAATGCTGATCAAAAGAACACAGCACCCGGTGCTGCTTTGCTGGTGATCTCTGCATCCCCATCACTACTGGCACCTAGTACAGTCACCACAAGAGGAAATGGTCAGGATCAGGCACCCGTTGTAGCTCCAATGGAGACGGGAGTAGGTGGGTCTGCTACTACGGTGAGGAAGGAAGGTGGATTGACAAAAGCACAGGCAGAAAAGAAGAAAATAGATGCGAGAAAGAAGAGTTTGAAGAGATTATGAAGTTAAGAGGGATGAATGATTGATTGGAACTTCTGTTATGCAGTTTGTGACTTATTTGTCCTTGATTGATGGAGGAGGAGGAGGAGGAGGAGGGGTTAAAAAAGCCAAAGAGCCGAAATGCATGTAAAGTACATGAATTTGAGAAAAGTGATGGATTAAATTTACCCGCTTGCCGCCCCTTTCGTTTTCGTTGGTCTCTTCTCTTGATATGTTTGTGGTATTTTCTGACAAGGTTACGGTGATCTGATTTAAATTGCTGAAACTTTGACTATGCTTATGTTTGCAAGTACTTATCGTGTTGAGTTGTAAGAGTGGCTCTACTTACCCTCAATCAATAGAATTGAGGGCAGGGCACCCCTAGCTGAAATGTTCAGTTCATTTATCAACTAAAATCACCATCCAAATTTACCGTAGTTACCGTTAAATAGATTACACCACGAAACACCCTTATCCCCTTTAAAGGGAGTGCACTGGAAAAGAATCGGAACTGGGTTGATCTATTTATGGGGAAGCATCCAAAGCATAATTGCACTCACACGATGCTCAATTGTTCGTGCCAGCTATTGAACTTGTATTAAGAGAAAGCAATTAGGTATTTTCGTGATTTTTCAATTTATATATGTGCATAGTTTTCGGTTTATTGCTATTTATTCTAATTGAACATTAGTGGTTTTGGACTTGTGAGACCATCTTCAATCGAAATGTCAAATTATTAGAATTAAATTGCAATTGATAGTTGATGTAACAATCTGAAGTTTTATGTCAAATATTATGCGTCTCCAACCAAGTTGTCAAATATTTTTATTTTTTTATTAATGTAAAGTTTTAAATGGGTTGTATTTATTAAAAAAAAATTGTTGAAACAAAATTTTGTTGGTTAAAGTGTTAGTGGAATAAGGGATATTAAACTAATTAAAAATAAATTTGACATTGACGTCTGGTCCTGGCAATTCCTGACATGACACGACACGAAATTAACAGGTATTCGGATCGACACGATAACGAATCAGGTCATTATCGGGTAACTCGATAAGCACCTGTTAAGATAACGGGTTGATTTGGGTATACACGTGGGTAACACGATACACAATAAGCAGAATATTATTTTTATAATTTTATAACCCTAAAAAAATACTGTAATAATCATATATATTAATTTAACAATTTTATACCCCTAAAAACTATAATAAATATATATATTAAATTAATTATAATAATTATATATGCTATAAAAATTATACCCCCAAAATATTAACTATCTATAATTGTGACATCCCACATCGCCCAGGGGTGATCCTTAAATGTATATTCCCATCCTACCTAGCACGAGGCCTTTTGGGAGCTCACTGGTTTCGGGTTCCATGGGAACTCCGAAGTTAAGCGAGTAGCGCACGAGAGCACTCCCAGGATGGGTGACCCATCGGGAAGTTCTCGTGTGAGTTCCCAGAAACAAAACCGTGAGGGCGTGGTCGGGGCCCAAAGCGGACAATATCGTGCTACGGTGGTGGAGCGGGCTCGGGAAGTGGTGCCACCCGGGCCGGGATGTGACAATTTGGTATCAGAGCCTATCCCTGGCCGGAAATGTGCCGACGAGGACGTCGGGCCCCTAAGGGGGGTGGATTGTGACATCCCACATCGCCTAGGGGTGATCCTTAAATGTATATTCCCATCCTACCTAGCACGAGGCCTTTTGGGAGCTCACTGGTTTCGGGTTCCATGGGAACTCCGAAGTTAAGCGAGTAGCGCACGAGAGCACTCCCAGGATGGGTGACCCATCGGGAAGTTCTCGTGTGAGTTCCCAGAAACAAAACCGTGAGGGCGTGGTCGGGGCCCAAAGCGGACAATATCGTGCTACGGTGGTGGAGCGGGCTCGGGAAGTGGTGCCACCCGGGGCGGGATGTGACAATAATTATATATATATATATATATTAAATTTTGAATTAAATTTTATAAAAACTATCTTAATAAATAAATATATATATATATATACACACACGCACACACCATTGAACTTGATGGGATACGAATTCTCCGAAACTAATTTCAACGATCCCAACCATCAACCTTGTTTGTATATACTTCAAGATCACATCAACAAAAAATCGCAAAACACAAACATTCAGAGATCAAGTAACGGGACAAAGCTTTTTGACTGTTATAGACAAAAAATCACGATTTAACGGTTATTTTAACTTCGATTTTGTTGATTTTTTACAGCTACACTCCTTGACCCTATATATGAATACAATGAATGAATTCGATCTCAATTTAAAATATTTACACAAGTGGATACCACAAAATCTTATGTTATAATTGATGAAAGTATAAATAAACTCCAAATGTTAGTCAATCTATTGTTTTTATGGGATACGAATTCTCCGAAACTAATTTCAATGATCCCAACCGTCAAACTTGTTTGTATATGCTTTGAGATCATATCAGCAAAAAAATCAAAAAAAAAAATATTTAGAAATCAAGTAACGGGACAATGGTTTTCGATGGTTATAAACGAAAAATCACGATTTAACGGTTATTTTAACTCTGAAATTGATGATTTTTTACAGCTACACTTCTTGACCCTATATGAATACATGAATGAATTCGATCTTCAATTTAAAATATTCACACAAGTGAATACCATAAAATCTTATGTGATACTTAATGAAAGTATAAATAAACTCTAAATGTTAGTCAATCTATTGTTTTGATGGGATACGAATTCTCCGAAACTAATTTCAATGATCTCAACCGTCAAACTTGTTTTTATATGCATCAAGATCACATCAGCAAAAAATCACAAAAAACAAACATTCAGAGATCAAGTAACGGGACAAAGCTTTTCGACGGTTATAAACTAAAAATCACGATTTAACGGTTATTTTAACTCTAATTTTGATGATTTTTTACAGCTACACTCCTTGACCCTATATGAGTACAATGAATAAATTCGATCCTCAATTTAAAATATTTACACAAGTGGATACCACAAAATCTTATGTTATACTTAATGAAAGTATAAATAAATTCTAAGTGTTAGTCAATCTATCGTTTTGATGGGATACGAATTCTCCGAAACTAATTTCAACGATCCTAACCGTCAAACTTATTTTTATATGCTTCGAGATCACATCAGCAAAAAATTGCAAAAAACAAACATTCAGAGATCAAGTAACGTGACAAAACTTTTCGACGGTTATAAACGAAAAATCACGATTTAACGGCTATTTTAACTCCGATTTTGATGATTTTTTACAGCTACACTCTTGACCCTATATGAATACAAAGAATGAATTCGATCTTCAATTTAAAATATTTACACTAGTGGATGTGGATATCACAAAATCTTATGTTATATACTTAATAAAAGTATGAATCAACTATAATAACTATATACATTAATTTAACAATTTTATACCCATTAAAACTATAATAATTATATATATTAAATTAAATTTAAAAAAATTTTGACCATTGGATCGGCTAAGATTTAATCTCAGTCGTCCATTTCATAATTATATATATATATATATATTTATTAAATTTAAAAAATTGATAACCATTGGATCGGCTAAGATTTAATCTCAACCGTCCATTGTAGGCTATTACTCTTCTCTCTCATTAACTCTTGAAGGCAATAAATCAAGCCAAAGTTCCAATACTATTTCATGATGATCGATGTAAATTGAAGATTTTTGTAAACGGAGGTTTAAAATTTTGAGAAAGACTTACAACCTTGAAAACAAAAACTCTTTCATTTTGCATATCCTTGCACATTTAATATTTGTAATAGATTAGTAGTGTATGTATTATTTTTTTATTAGGCTCTTATTTTCGAGTGTAGATATAGTACTTAAACGACAAATGTTTTAATGTTTTCAAGTAATATTTATGTGGCAATGTGTGGTATGTGGGTAAAGTGACCCGACCTGTTAAGGACCCGTTAAGATAACGGGTGTGACACCACACGACCCGTTAAGATAACTGATGTTACACGAAAATGACACGAACACGACAGACACGACCCGTTTGCTAGGCCTATTGACGTCAAATTTGACTTGTAAACACTACGGTTGAAAGAATTTTGATGTCAAATATACAGAATCATATTGCTACCTAAGATTTGACATCTCTTTTAAAAATGATAGTTACACAATTTATCGATTAGCTAGATGGTGTAACATTCATATTACCTAAGATTTATCAATTACCTAAGATTTGACTTCTAACATTCATATTAGAACGTCAAAAGACGTGTAACATTCATACTAAAGAGTTGAGGGTGGTTGTGGCTTCAAAGTATGTAGTAGGGGAGTGCACGTGGAACACCAACCAACCAAAAGAACGCGAGAGAGAGAGAGAGTAGTTGGGTCTTAAGTTGTGAGGTAGGTAGATGGAAACACGTTCCTCTCTTTCTCTCTCTCTCTTCTCTCTCTCTCTTTCTACTCTATATTATGCATTCATTCATTTGGCTCTTAGTGTGCATTGGATTGAAGTGAACATTGTGGTGGTGAGACGAAAGACAGAGTTCAATGGAAAGCCAGAAGAAGATGAAGATACTTTGCCTCCATGGATTTAGAACGAGCGGCGCCTTTCTCAAAAACCAAATTACCACCAAATGGCCTTCTTTCGCCTCTCAATTTGACATGGTATGCATATATGCACCTACGTACGTTTTTTTTTTTTTTTTTTTAACATTGAAGAGAGAAATATTACAGCAATTAGTTGGTCGTGTTGCCAACACAGACGGAGTCTCTCTAAATTTGAAAAAAAATTGGTTTTTTTTTTTTTTTTTTGGTGCGGTTGGATCGTGGAAAATCAAAACATATTTAAGAGATCATGAAATATAAAAAATATAAAATCATGGTGTATTATTTTGTGGTTACAGGATTTTCCCGATGGAATATTTCCTGCTGCTGGAAAATCTGACATTGAAGGCGTCTACCCACCACCTTATTACGAGTGGTTTCAATTTGACAAGGTAAATATACACACTTTCACTGATAGAGTGCATTTTTGCTAACCACTTCAAACCTCGAGCTTGAGGCTTGAGGATGATGGTGATGAGTGTCACCACCGCACCGCATCAACCATCATTACTGCTTCCCAAAGGATATCCACAGAAAATGAATTGAATTGTTGTGCTGTTGTTCATCAGGACTTCACAGAGTACACAAACTTGGAAGAATGCATCACTTATTTATGCGACTACATAACAACCAAGGGCCCTTTTGATGGTCTGCTTGGTTTTTCTCAGGTACACACACACACACACACACACACATGTTTGCTTCCACAGGGCTCAATTCGCATTCTCAAAATCTTTACGCAGGGTGCGACGCTATCAGGACTCCTATTGGGCTACCAAGCTCAGGTATATGTATCGTTTAGCCGTTCAACGGTCTGCATTTTCATTTCAACTTCATCTAACGAAACATGGTTAAGAAAGTTAAGGGCACGCTTAACATAGAAAGATCGTACATGTAGACATACAACTATATCATATTGAAGTTGAAGTACAAATTTGGGGGATGCAGGGTAAGGTGTTGAAGGACCATCCACCTTTCAAGTTTTGTATATCAACATCAGGAGCAATGTTCAGAGATCCCAGCATATGTGACATTGCCTACAAAGACCCTATCAAGGCCAAATCTGTTCACTTCATAGGAGCCAAAGACTGGTTAAGACGACCTTCGGAGGATTTTGCCGCTGCATTTGATAACCCACTCATCATAAGGCACCCATACGGCCATACTTTCCCAAGGCTAGGTTTGTCTCAACTAGTTTTCGGTGCATATATATGCACAATGCAATTTCACATGCACATGTATCTACAGATTCTATACCAACATGGCCTTAACTAGTTTTTGGTGTTTGTAAACAGATGAAGCAGCAACCGAGCAACTATGTGGTTGGACTAAAACAATCATTGAATGCAATAACACTGAGAATGGAGATGCCAAAGAAAAACATAACGGCACAGATCCAGTGATTGCAGAAAGTAAGATCCAAAACAAGAAAACAAGCACTGCAGTTGACATAAAAACAAATGAGAGACAAGTCGAGGTTGTGGAGGCAACCTACGCATGAAGATCTCAAATGTCACAATAAAGACCTGGTCACTTGAATGCACAATCTACATTGATCACAGTAGCGGTGTGTGGAGCCAAATAATATGTACTCTGTAGTCAGTACTGTATGTGTTCCCTTCTTGGGGTCATGCAGTTTTATCTTTATCCAATGTAAATCTATAATAGTATAATCTGGTTTGAATGTATATGAATTCGTTTCTCTAGCAAAACAATCCTGCATTTCATCTGGCTGGTCCTAACACTATAATAGACGATGTTACATTGGTACTTCCACTGGAGACGCTCTTATGAGGCTGATTTTATCAAGTTGGGGTCTCAACGTGGTCAGATCAAGGGTGGAGATGTGATTTACCCTTGTAAGTGCATTGATCAATCAGTGCTTGCAGTGCCTAGTCTCTTTTGCTCGTTCATGAATCATGAAGCTTATTACTTATTAGGTTATTAATTACTTATTAGGTTATTAAGGACAAAATAAAGGGTAAAGTGAATAGTACCATGATTGATTTTTTTGTGTAAAAATGTGATTTTTCGTTAAAATGAACAGTATCGGACGCTTTTCATTAAAATTCCCTTATTATTTTCCTTTTCTATTAGAACTTGGGTGGGAGTCGATGGTTACAGGAATACAGGAAGGAAAACTAAACTTGTTCGGCCACGAGAACAAGTCAGAGAAAAGAAAGAGGAAACAGGAAAGAGACAATCTACCGGCTAAACAGATAATGGAACTCCATTACCAGAGCTGTTTTACTTGTAACTAAACATGTATAACATACTATCAACATACAAGTAGCAATTCGGCCTTACGGAAACAACATGAGCCATTCGGTAAAGAGTTTTACTAATTCTACTAGATTACTGAAGCTGCTTTACTTGCAACTAAACATATACAACAACAACAACATACACAAGTAGCATAAGCATTTGGTTCAAGTAAGCCTTACAGAAACAGCATCAGCAATTTCCATCATCCGCGAGCAAGTCAAAATGATCACAGCTATCAGCAAACTCTTCACCATGTGCAGCCTTACAATGCAGGTACAATGCCGTCTTTGCCGCAGCGATGTGGAGGATAAGTAGATTAGGAAAACAGTAGTCACTCCTAATAGCACTGCAAGTCCTCAATTCTTCCACCTAGTAGCCTCATTCATCCCCATTTCCAAAACCCAGCTACACACCCCTAAAACCCCAGAAAGACATCCAAAAACCTGCATCAAAGATACCGCAATCGTCCCCGCTCCCTTGACCAGCCTCGCGCTTCGAATCAAAAAATTGAAACACCAAGTGGATTCCAGCACAACCACCACAGAAGCCAGAGTCCAGAGCACTTGAAGATAAAGCAAAATCATCAACAAAGCAACCACAACCACAGCCACAAAACCGGTAAAGAATGGTGACGACTAGTCCACTGGAGACCCCAGCAGGTCAGCCCTCCAACCGCCATGAACAAGAACAGTGCAAAAGTTTTCAAAACCAACAGAACGACCAACAGGGAAGCTAAAGGGGTACCCAACAGAGGCTACAAGGAAGAGATACCAGATCAGACGGCGGAGAGGAAGTTCAGCGGGCGGCAATGGAAGCCATGGAAGGCGCTGTGGGTGATTGATCCGACGGCGCAGAGAGAAGTGAGAAGGACGAAAAGGGCAAACTTCAGAAAGGAAAAAAGGGTTTTGGCGGTGATTGTGGGGGTTGGTTTTGTTGAGCTTCAGAGGTGGAAATTTGGAAGTTGGGGAATCGGTCGGCGAGGGTGAGGAGGAGGAGGTCGAGAAGGGATGGGAAGAGAATGGATGAAAGGAAGAAAGAGAGGGGGAGGTGGAAGACGACGGAGAGGTCTAAGAAGTGGCCGTGGGCGGCGGGGGAATTGCTGAGGCGGAATGATTTCAGCAGGATCGCTGCTGCAGATTGGGTTTCCATGGCGGATTGGAATTGAATGGGGCCGCGGAGTAGCGAAACAAATTTGAGGGTTTCAGAATTCAGATTGATTAGATTTCGGGTGAGGTGAATTTTTGGGGAAGGAAAGGAGAGAGTATGAGTGTATGTGTCATGTTTTCCGTAAAAACCAGAGACAACGTAAGTACTCGAGTGAGCTAACTGTCGTCGTATGCTTGTTCACCGTTTCACATCCGATGAAAATCGAATCTACCACCTGTTATCATTTGCTTGTTTACTATTTCACATTTGACGGGAATCGTATTTAATACTTTTAATTTATAAATGAAAAGAAATACTATTAGATTGTAGTAATAAGTGATATTTTGTTTTCAATCTCTTGATGCGTTGCTGATGTGATGTAGACATAATATATCTTGGCGTTAACTTCGTTTATGTATCGTGTCTTGGTCGAGTTGATACATACGACATAGTCTTCATGGGCTGAGGCTCCAACTTGCAACAATTGCATGTGAAGAAAAGAGAAGGCCAACCCCAGCGCGTCCGCAACATCAGGGCAAAGAGATCCCATGTGGGCGAGCACACGAAAAGTACCCCTACTACGACCAAGACTATAGCGTTGTTGGCATCCGATGGCTGTCACATCTCTTGGGTTTGGATCCAATGTAGCTTACCCAACTACATTCATTTTAAATTCAGCGGCTAAAATCTAATTTAATCAATTTTAACGACAATAAAAAAATCCAACAACTAAATTTAAATACAGCAGTCAAATTAATATTATCAATGCATTCAAATCAAATCTGACACACTCCAAATCGAGCTGTGCTGGCTGACATCATCAATATCATAATATTTCTATGTCATAATCTCGATCATTTAAACACATGTTCGCAATACTCTTTTGTAAATCACATATTGCACATAATTATTTATATCATATCTCAAACGATGCCATGCTCATAACCAGGGGTGTAACCATAGTTACACTTAACTTTAACAAGAGTAAGTGTCTACCAATCACGTACCGGGCATAAAATCTCTATATGTCGGCCCCAATGGTACCATAGCTAAACCAAAATTGTAACCGTAGTTACAAGCAACTAAAATAAAGATAGTGTTATGTTGCAACCAAACTAATGGTGGGACAAACAAAACGCAACACGTCCACTAAGGTCCGAGTAGCTCGTTCAGATTAATCGTTAATCTAAGGGTGGAAATGTGATACTGAACAAAATCTAGTACTCATAACCTCCAAAAAGACTTCCAAAGACTTGGAAGTAAAATACGTAGCACGATGAGATATAAATACGTCAAGGTGATAATCTGGTCAGGTTTTTGTTTGCCTGAACTTGTATAGAAGTCTAGAAGCAACTCTCTCATAATGCCATCGCTCTCTGGAAGCAAACGGAGAAGAAACTGTGGTTGTCCAAGAAGTTTGAACTGTATATCCTCAAACACCCTTTCTACCCTAACCAAAGACAGGGCGCTCCTAGACTAAGAATTCTCTTCAAACACATGAAGTGGAGCCTTAATTTTTAATTCCTTTCCTATCTCTACATTTGATCATATCATGGATGAGGACTTTTAGATCACATCATGCAGAGAAGTTAACAACATCCCACTTTTATCTTAGTTGACTTCACAAGTGTCTTGTTGTTGAAATCCTTGCTCCCATTTTAAGGAAAGAAATCATCACCAATACCAACTTTAAGCTTTAGGACTAGAAGAATATGGCTTTCCACTTGAGTAAAGCTACCACCAATTGAAACACCACGTGAGCGTAGTATTGGTTCAGCATCATGATTATTGATTTTCATATTCTCTACATGTACAAAACAGCTCATATAGGGAGCTTATAGTGATGATTCCCCGTCTCCGGTCGAATACAAGAAATGATTATAATCATTCGAACAATTCTCGATAATTCAAAAATAATGTCAATTCAATGCTTATGAACTTCAACTGAAATGGCATAGGAATGGAAGAAAATGTTCAAGGGTAATTATATCTTTTGTGATGGTAAACAATAACCAAGTTTGCACAAAAGGGATAATGTACAATAGTGTAAGAGTAGACGTTTTCCAGATTCTTCCACCATCCCAGTCAAATCTGATTCTTTTCAAATGAATATGTACTTAAGAAATCTAAAGTTGATAAAGATTTTGAACACGTTCTCCATAGAGAAATGTCATTCTATTTTTAAGCAAAGATGATAAATGTTGACTCTAAGTCATGGATAAGATGGCTCATTCCAAACAGTGCTGCACATTGGAAATATAAATGATAATCCTTCATGCTACCTCTACACAGGCGAAACATCCAAGGGATACATCATCACGGATTTCCAAAATGATCAATGTCATCAAAGAGTGTAATGCGATGGTGAGGTGAGACAACAATTCAGTTGTCAGAACTTTATTCATAACTAACATTACAACTAAACTAACTTTCCTCGGTGGTGAGTGAGAAAAAAACACTATAGCCAAAAATCTCTAACCAATTGTCGATAAAATCGACAAAACCAAAGATATCTCGAAATTCACAATACTTTGTGAGAATTTCAACTTTCTTCCGCTACAACCTTTTTGGGAAAAGAAAAGAATCTCGTCCACTGAGATCACGCCTCGCAAGAAGAGTATCAATTTAATCAAAGTTTACAGTCGAGAAATCTGGTATAGAGCTGACTAACAAAGCTTAAAGAATTTGGTCTCGCTGTCAAGGTAGATAAGTAGATCACCGATAAGACCACTATGAATTCGTCAGACCATGGAGGCAACTCAGGATACAAAGGTTGGTCGACTAAACCATCAGTTCGAACACTCGATCAAGTTGCTAAAGTCTAGGTACAAATCTAGGGTTCAATCTTTCGTCTTCATGAATAGGTTTGAAGTTCCCGAGATAAAGTGTTTGATTTGGTAATTCCCTAATCGGTAAGCCGTAGTGACTAAGTTCTCTCAGTAAGGTAGGACTCGTTCGAAAAGTCACAAGGAAAACTGATATATGAGTGGTTCGATAAGAAATAGGGAGAATAAATGTGGTGTTAACAAGGTGAATCACTCGTGTATTCTACTCCTCGCATGTGGTAGAATCCTAAGTAGAAATTTGAGAAAAGACACCAAAGGTATACATCCTTGAAACGTACTAAACTACTAACCAACTCCACAACACGAACTAAAAGGTCTTTACCGTTTTCTTGACACTCAAAACATTCTAACAATGATATGTCATTTCATATTTCAATCCCACTGTCCGCCTGTGGAAGTGAACGAGAGGTGGCTAGTCGAAGAAGTTTTGA